ATTTACACAGTGGCTGTCATAACTTGTTTCATAACAGATTTATTTCACATTAAAACTAGTAGTAAAAAAGGAAGGGATGATCACGCTCACTCGTGGTACGAATAAGTGTACCGCTACACCCCTATTATTTGGCATACATACATAGTTACACATTCTCTCTCTCTATTTTTTCCATCTCAGGAGCCAGTCATGCCTGCCAGTGTGCGTACTGGGACCCCGAAGGACTCAGAGGTGTCTGAGCTCTTCTACAGAGATGATCCTGAGAAGCTCTTCACTGATCTCCGGGAGATCGGTCATGGCAGCTTTGGAGCCGTGTACTTTGTAAGCAGGCTATGCTAATATTTGTATGCAATGGGCATTTGTGTAGATGTGTGCTTGAGGCTCTGCATGAACATATTTTTCTTTCAGGCTCATGATGTGCGTTCCAATGAAGTGGTGGCCATCAAGAAGATGTCGTTCAGTGGCAAGCAGTCCAATGAGGTCAGGATCAAATTGAATTTCTGTAGTAATGAATCAGACTGTTTAAACCTATTCATGTACAAGAATCATGTGTTTACTACTGGTTGGTGTGTTGGCCCCCAGAAATGGCAGGACATCATAAAGGAGGTGAAGTTCTTGCAGAAGCTCAGACACCCCAATACCATCGAATACAAAGGGTGCTACCTCAGGGAGCACACAGCATGGGTAAGCGCATACGCATATGTATGTGAGCGATGTGTCTGTCTGACGTGTGCTAATGTTGTCTGTTTCTTGTGTTAGCTGGTGATGGAATACTGTCTAGGATCAGCCTCTGATCTGTTAGAGGGTGAGTAGTTTATTTGTATCTTTCCTCACGTCCTCCGTTCTTTTCAAATAATGCTGTTATGCTCTCCCTCAGCCGCCCTGTCTGACATTAGAGATGTCCCTTGTTTTTGTGGTGCTGTATTTGTACCCTCAACAGTTCATATAGAAACATGCAGGTGTAAATATTGTAACCATTACAGCTCTGGATTGTATTTTCCCACAGTGAAATATTTAGCCTTTTTATCCTACAGTGCATAAAAAACCTCTGCAGGAGGTGGAAATAGCTGCTATTACCCACGGTGCACTTCAGGGCCTCGCCTACCTTCACTCTCATAACATGATACACAGGTGAGACCCTTCCTGCTTTTCTTTTGATTTCTGTTTTTATCTTTACATCTGTTTGCTTTGTTGAAGTTTCTCAGCCTGTTGTCAATAGATGTTTTTCAGTGTTGAAAGATGCATAGGTCTTTATTTCTTTATTTTTCTTTTTCCAGAGATGTGAAGGCAGGTAATATTCTGCTAACTGAGCCCGGTCAGGTGAAGCTTGGAGATTTTGGCTCTGCCTCAATCGTTTCTCCTGCCAACTCTTTTGTGGGTACACCGTACTGGTAAGTTGTAAATGCAATTGATTATTTGGTTAAAGGAACTATGTTCTATGATTTGATTTTACTTGAAGTCAACTTATAATTATAGTCAGGGTTTCTTCTACTAAATGAGCACACACAAGTAATTTTAGCATTTTTTT